ATCAAAGTCTATAAGCGGAAACGCTGCCCTTCCTGCGTTTAAGGAAGGCGGTCGGGAAGGTTCCACAACTAGTCACCGAAAATAACCGGAGGTATTCAGGACTCCCTCGTTATCGTCTGTCTCTGTATTTGTTCTGGCGTAGGGAAGCCCTCACAGCTTGTATAGACCCGCGCTCTAGACGTTCCGTCACGAGCGGCTTCGTTCGCATCAAGTCGACGCGCAACAGTCTAACCGAATCGGATTTGTCACGTTCCGGCAGACGGACTCTGTGTATGTGTAATACGGAAAAGAAAGCAAACATCAAATGAAATGCGTTTGCAATCGATAGGATACTAGGCTAGAGTTACCGCCGTTTGTGGCTTTAGCGGTTATATCGGAACCGGCATAATCTCGCTCCCGGCTAAGCAAGAATGCGTCAAATGATGTGCGGACGGACCGGCGGGCGCGGGTTAGCCCCTTAACGACAGCTGTCGACATGTTTCATAACATCGGCTTACCTACCGAGCACGCGGACCATCATGTCATTACCCTGCGAGCGAAAGTTACGCTGATCATGCACCCGTCTCGTACGAGGAAGGTGAATTTGTTTACTATGTTTAAAGGCCAGTGACATTGACGAATAAAGACACTCGAAACGCGTCTTGCAATTACTCGATACAGTTTATTCAGCTCAGATCAGCTAGCTCTCCTGTGTGCGCGCGAGTGCCCGTGTGCGTTTGCGTGCGTGTGTGATTTATGCGCGTATGTATGCGTGTGTGGCAGTCACGTACGGGCTGGTAATTATTTTCGTTTTGAAGCCAATAAATCCATCCGTATCTCTAGCTTATTCAACGAACGGAACACTTTCTCTCTTTATTGGCCCAGTAGAATTCCAACGAACATTTACTGGCAGCAGTAGCGGCCCCGTTACAGTTAACCTGCCAATACGATGGCAACATCTCTTTCCATTTTCTCTCGGCGCCATATTGGGGGCTTTTTGTGCGCAAAAGCTCGTGAATTGAGTCGTACGAAGTGACGTGTATTATGTTTCGCGTGCCTTTCAACGATTCGCAAATCAGACGAAGCGCGTAATTTTTTTCAGATGACAGTCAAACGGTCTCGCAGACAAGGCGCTCGCGCATGCGCGGCAACGCGCGCGAAAGTTGCACCCACCACTCGCTAAAGCCACGCAGACCGCTTCACCCCGACCTTTTCGACCGAACATTCGCGATGTGCTCGAGTTATTTCAGAGAGGCCACGTGTAGATTTGTCAACTAGCGATTGGTTCTTGAAGTGAGGAGCTACTTACTGCCATCTAGCGTAAAAAGTGCACATGTTTGTTATACGTGCTTGCCCCAAAAACATCGGATATACGACTCCAATGATTGCCCAGGGGATTTATATTTATATTTAGTTTAAAAAATAATATCATCCTTGAGAGCAGCTTGTGGTTGTATTAAGTGTGATTCGTTATTCCTTTTCGCGAAAAAGATCACAACCATTTTTTTAAAATATAACTTCGCTAAACCCGTGACATTCCCCGATAAACGACTAGTATTGCTTTACTATTAGACTCCTTCTGTAAGTCGTTTGAGCCACAAAATTATAAAGAGGTTGAGATGGGGTTGCGAGAGTAATAATATCAGGAGTATCGTAATATACGACTATAGTCACGAGTGAATAATAGAGCTATTATTATTCCCTCTGACTAATAGCTAAAGGACTTTAATACTCAGAAGAAGATCATCAATCGTAGATAGAGCACTGCTGCTAATACTAATGTACATGTAAAGCTCATTATACGTTTCTACTCTAGTTGTTCTCTATATTGGCTGGATGCTCTGACGAACTAAGAAAGTCGACATGACATGTGGAACACAACATCGAACAATTATGGGCGGCGTAGCGCTGATCAGCGACACGCAGCCAGCCGAGCGGCCCGACATTTCCAAGGTCAGTTCCAGCCGCGCAATAATGACGAGAGTTATCGCCTGCGTTCGACGACCCTTTGCGCCGATACGCGTGACAGTAAATGCGGCTATCATTCGGCGGCCGGTTTGACACAGATTTTGCGCGAATGGCAGGCACGGGCACTTGCCCCAACCGGTTTCAATATGTAAAATAATGATTAAATAAACACGAAATGCTATTTTACACAAAGTCTTAAATGTTTCTCTGCTCTCGTTTCGCCTATTATATTGCCGATAATTTTCCTGTAAATGCCGTTCAGATCTCCTATGCGAACACCAAAGAACATCCCTAGAGCACGCGCTGTGCACAATCAAAAACAGAGAATATAAAGAGTTTTAATAATTTCAATTATAATTTTAATAGATAATTTATTTTGTCTTTGAGTTCCGCAACGCGTGTTACCTTGTATGTGGGGCAGAGAAGCAATATGAACGGCTTTGCCAAGGAAAATTATCGCCCAATTATGGCCGGAAGAAAAGAATAGAAGAAATTTACTTTTGGTAAGGTCAAATACATTTGTTAACCATATATTACCGTAATATAGCATTTATTTTACCAAAACTTAATTTTAGTTAAGGAAAACGTGTCTAAAAAAAAGTCCCCATGTGTCAAGCCCCTCCTCACCAGCCCCGGGAGCTAGAAAATTAGCCGGCGGGCCTTCGTTGTCAAACCCGAAACACGGGGTGTAGCGGGTTTAGTGCGCCCCTGCGAAGCGGTTGCGTCTTGTATATACCGCGTCCTTTCCTAACGTGCGACCCGGGTGATGTGGGTTTTGCCAGTGCGGGGGGGGGGGGGGCTTTCCGTAATCGTTCGTACCGCCCCGCAGCCCGGCAGGGTCGTCTCTCCTCCGTATAGAGAGCACGGCCTGGGTAAAAATGCTGAAAAAGTAAACCAATAAACTTAATACTCGTCCACGCCTCATCCGCCCCCCTCGCTAGACACCAACCCCCCGGCCGATGTTTTGAACCCGCCGGCTCTGAAACCTAATCTCCGTCGCTCTCTCTCTCTCCCTTCCCTCTCTCATTCCTCTCTCTCTCTCGTCCTCTCGTCTCGTCTCGTCTCCCTGCCTCCTCTCTCTCATCTCTCTCTCTCTCGCTCCTCTATCTTAATTCTTCTCTCTCCTCCGCTCTGCACATCTCTCGCGCTCTCGTCGTCTCTCTCCCTCACCTCTCTCTATCTATCTATTCTATATATCTAATTTCTCTCTCTTTTCCTTCTTTCCTTTTCTCTCTTATTTTTTTCTTTCTTTCTCTTACCACCACATATAGCAAAACGTGTTGCCCTTATCGACTTCCTCGTGCGTATCGATACATATATATCCGTTCTTAGTAGTGTTGGGCGGGCTGCCACGCAGTTTAGTTGTAGTCTATTTCCTTTCTCAGTTCGTTTTACCGTGATATATAAGAGTAGAGCGTTCGCGCTTTCTTAGCGATTCTCGCCGTCGAAAAGATATACAGCCCGAAAGCGGGTGAAACACCCGCAGCAGAGAGGAGCGCGGGTGCGGAAGGCAGGAAACCAGTTGGCTCCGCGCCGCAAAAATAAAAGAAGCACAATACACTTTCGGAGACCGTGAAATTCTTATCCACTTCCATTGCCAAGCCGAACAATTGCGCGCCTGCGTAGAGCTTCTTTGCAGCCGAGAGCTATAAATTATACTCCTGCCCTAGCTCTAGTAACATGGCGTGCCCGCCCGTCGGTACAGTTGCCGGCAGTTGCGCAGTTTGGCGGCAGTGCTGATAGCGCGGCTATCAGTAGCTACGAGCTATCCCTGGCCTAGCTACGTCCATCCGATAGGCTCCCTTTTTTTTGCAAGCGCTATTTACTTTTACGAGGCAAAAAAAGCCGTGTTAGGAAAAGTTTATTTAGGTTTTTTGGGGGTAACACGGCTTCACGATGAAGGCAAGAGGAACGACGACAGCCGTACGCCGCTGTACCGTCGTAAATGTGACGATTGATTGAATGCTAGTAATTGAGTAATATCAAAATCTAATTATATACAGAATGAATGAACAAGGCGTTCTACAATCCAATATCTAGCTTTCACGTGACATGCCGAACGTGGAAAACGCGAGCAATTCCTTCGATGATGACAGGATAGATAATAGGGAATTAGCCCTATTTCTACTCCGCTGATGATACTAAATTTGACCGATATTACCCAGAGTACATTGCAGCAGCAGTGATCGAAGTTATGACATATTAACCCCGTAAACCACCAACTCTACCCTTTTACCTGAGGCGCACGGTTCGAAAATTATTCGAACAGTCAATTACAGAATTCGTGGTAAAAGATCGAAAATGTTTAAACTCTAATTGATCAAGGTTACCTGGTGCAATCATGAATCATTCTTATTCCGATAACTGCGAAAATAAATAACTGAATTAGTGATGTCCACGATCATCGATTAATACTCGATCATCGGCTTGAAGCAGTGCTCGAACCAAGCGTCTTGTATCAAATATCCATTAATCGATTTTGTATCGAGAAAATAAATAAATAAATATGATTCGAAATTAAATGTAAAACTTGAAACAAGAAACTTGAAAAGTGATAGAATCAGAGATATCGATCGTACGATACAAGTTATCCTTTATTAACATATCATGTATTATATCCACAACACCGAGTATAAACAGTTCGCAGAAAACACAAACAGTAAAACAGCTAAACCAAGCCCCATACATCACACACCTACATGCACACGCAGCGCAATTCCAACACTCGATAACCTGATTGGAACCTGATCATCGGCTACTTGGGTGCAACGCGTATGATCGATTTATCGAAATACAACCGATTGACAACACTGAGATGTAATTATTATTATTATGTTTCTTTGCCGCAATGTTCAGGAGTCACTATCGTTTATACGTGGTGTCAGAAAGGAGCGAATAACAGAATGCGTCAAGCATCCTCGTGATTAGTTCCCGCATCCTCTCTCGTGGCGGCGTGTCAGGTAGGATCCGTGAATCATTTATGCCGTGAAACTCGCGTGATAATCATCACGTGGCACACAGCGAAGCGTGAAGCCATGTGCTATTATACTCACAGCTGCTGAACTCAGCACCACTCGGCGAGAATTCGCACTTCTGGCGAATTATCACGGACACGGGACAGCACTCGGCTGCTAACATTTTTTCGACGCGCAAAAAATTCGAATCCATTGACCTCGTTCCTTTTTCGCGTATACACGGGCACGCCCTCGTGCACAGTCTATGAAGAGCCAGTGCGTTGGAAGGGAACCCCGGCATTGTAAGATGCAACCTGCCTAAGTAAATATAGTTTGCGCAAAAGCTCCAACACTAAGCTCACTATGTCTGCGTTAAAAACAAGTAAGAAACGCGGCTTATGCAGTGTGCGCAGACAATAAAGCTTATAAGATGCGCGCGCGTGCGTGCGTGCGTGCGTGCGTGCGTGTGTGTGCATGCGTGCATGTATGTATGTCTTTATGCATGTATCTATGTATACTTGAAAATATATATATAGTTATTTTGATTTTGCCAAAATGCACATTATTCTTTCTCCACTACGAATAGCAACATTTTTAGTCGCCTACAGTGCTGACTTCCTGCCTGTGGTCGCACGCGTATACCGAACCCATTAAGTTTTTGTCATCCCAAAATTACACATGATGGTAGCGACGCGCCAAACTTGTGTCTTCAATAAGAAAACCCGCAATTTAAATTAGAGACACCTGCGCGAAAAAAGCATCGCCGACGTGCTACAGTCGAGCCACTAACTCGGTGACTGGGCTAGCGCCTGCAGCGGATCCGTAACGAGCGTATTAAACCTTGTTAAGACTAGTAAAAGTCGTCGCTAAATATGTCTTGGGCTTATTAGGTGATCCGGGACAGCTGTCGGTCAGAGCTGTCGGGGGAATTCGGGCATGTTCCCCGAGCGTAATGGGCTTCTACGGAATCCGCGACAACGCCGACTCGGCAGCAGTGCTTCTCACACAAAGATGGCCGGGATTTTTAAAGCTGGCCGTATCCTACTTAATCCCCGAGGAAACGCCTGTTCGACAAGGCGTGCTTCCCCGTCCCTTTCCTTCCGTCCACCGCCGACGGCCGACGTTCAGACTCCGCCGACCAGTAGACACATCGGCTGCACATAGCGACGTAGTCATGCGGGGGTGGATGATTACTAGAGGCTAGCTCAAACCGTCTCCCTCAATGTCTTACCAATTACTCTGTGGTCAATTGTTAGCACACCTACACTCACAGTTCGCGTGAGGGGTGACCTCCTTTAATGCCAACAACGATGATCGATTAATCGTGGAAACGATCGACCTACACGCAGCGGACAATAACGATATACATTTTTCATTTGGGTGCGGGGGGGGTGATTTTGCGGTGACAGCAGTAATGGCCCGCCAGCGTGCAGGGGAACGGAGGGACTGCCACGAACATTTTTCGAACATGTTCACGTGAATATTTCACGAACGTGTTTTGCTATACTACAAATTTTCCATGAAACTGCGCGCGTCCGTAGCAGCTCTTTAGAATCTCATATCAGAAGTCCCTAGCTGCCGTCAGGGTAGATTCTACGCAAATTATAGAGTCAGTCTAGCTGCCATTGACGCTAGGCCGCTGCAAAGATAATTCGATGTCTAGCTCTTCATTCCGATTTAAATACAGCGACGGAGATGCCGTCATTCGGGAGTCGCCGGTATGCGAGGCGTTTAGCACGCCTATAAGTATCGTGGCCGTAACTTTATTCGCCGAGGTAGGTCCAGGATTTGCATGTTCGTGAATCATAATCCCTGCCCTGCTCCCGCTCCAACGCTGGGCGCGTCATCACTTCAGTGCACCCGCAGTATATATGCATGCCGCCTCCTTATTCACTCGCAATCTGTATACCCATTACGTTAAAGATGCCCCAGGGCACATATCATTACAGCACGCGCGATCGCGTTGCGGTTATCTTCGCCCAGCATAAGTATCGGTTATTCAGCAACCAGCCACAAGGCACGGTCTAGAACTCTAGATGGTTGTAGTTGACCATGAGTTTCGTAGCTAGCTAGCTAGACCATGGATTTCGTAGAATTCTGCTGTCACACAAATCACTTAAAATGCATCGCGTGAGGTTTCTTAACGTGTGCGCTCGTGAATGAGAGAGAGAGAGAGCG